TTTACTCGCTAGTATCCATTGAAAACTCACTGAAATCATTCTTAATTATGCTGGGTTGACTGACATGTTAGCTCATAGTGAACCTTATGCCCTATCATGTTTTTTGATTGTAAAACCTAAGTACTTGTCCTGTTCTTTGTCCAGTAATGCAGTTGCTCATATGTCTAAATTGTGTTCCCAAAACAGTGACTTGCACAATATCATACAAATAATGACAGAGCTTTACTGCCATTTGTTTGTGTGTAATTTTTTATCTTTAATGTACTTTAAATCTGATTTCATTGTTTCTGTATTTTTTCAATCAAAAGATACTTAAATGAATGCTTATTATATTGTACTTACTTTTCTTAGTAAAGTGAAATACATTACAGTGTAACTCCACTCAAATGCATTCATTCTAGCTAGACTACATTTCTTGTTAAAGGATATCTGTTGTCAACTAACTTGACATGGTAGACTACATGTATGTATTTTGACACTAAAAAGTCAATTGGAAAAAATAAATTGTTAAATATTTTGTTACATTTGTAAACATTTCTCAGAACCACATTCATGTCAACAAAGCCCTACATAGCCAGACATTTTTAGTTATGTCATTATTTAATAATATAAGATCAGTGGAACCAACATCCACTGCATGTAGAGATTCACAAAAGTCTAATATGTTTGAATGGAGTTGCAATATGTGTAGGATTTTATAAGAATGGTGTTCTATGTGTATGTGTGTGTGTGTGGAACTACCTAAGAAATTACTTATGTGTAGTTATAGTATGAAAGCTGCACTTGTGGTGTACCATTTTCCCAGCACCCACTATCATATAAAGTTTTGAAACTACTGACAGTTTTGGCCTCCACCACTTTCTTGTTCCCAGCATCTACCACTGTTCACAAAAGTGAACTTTCTAATGATCCTTTTAGCATCTTTGTTTAGTTAGCTTGAGTATATTATCTCTTCTTCTTGAAGTTTGTTTTCAAATTCTTCCTTATCAATTTTGTCAATTCCCATTGCAATCTTGTACATAGTGATCATGTTGCCATGATCACCATACACTGTACATATTGTTTCGTACATAGTGATCATGTCAATTAGATTCAAGCTAAGGAAACAAGGCTGTACCAAAAAATAATAAAATTCAGTTTTGCAAACTAAGTAGTAGACAGAACAAAATAGGTGAGAAGATGGTAGAGGCCAAACCGTAAACAGTTTCAAAGCATCATATGACAAGCAGTATTGGGAAGATGGGACACCACGAGCATAGCTTTCATTATGTAAGTACACCTAGGTAATTTACTCATGCTCACACATGTATACATGTTTGCAGATGATACAAAGTTATTAGGGTGAGTAAAGACTTTAATGACTGCCAGGCCCTTCAAAATAATGTAGACAAATATGTGCATAAAGCAACACATGGGCAATGGAATTCAATGTAAATAAAGGCCGCATGTAAATTACAAATTATGTGGAAAAGATATTGAAAACTCGGATAATGAAAGATTTTGGGATCAAATCTGGATAGTAAACTGTCACCAGATAACCGCACTGAAGGCATTTTGAGAAGAACCTATGCTACACTTGCAAATACTGTCAATCACTTTTAAACATATAAATTGGGAAATATAAAGAAATTATTCACAACATTCATGAGACTGAAATTGGAGTATGCAGCAGTTGTATGGTGTCCATATGTAAAATACACAGTTCTTACACAAAATATAAAGGTACAGACATGATACCAAATGGCTTCTGGACCTAAGAAACAAGATTTATGAGGAAAACTTGAGGCCATTAAACATGCCAAAGTTAGTAGATAGTAAGAAGTGTGGAAATATGATCAAATCATATTAGTTTTACACCGAGGAAAAGAAAAGCTGCACTGTCTAGAATACGACTGCTTAGACAATAAAGGTTTTGAAAAATCTTCTAAAGTTCTCTTTTTATGAACAGAGTTGTGCACATTTGGTGGAATTTAATATGTGAGAAGGTGTTGGATGCCAAAACCATAAGTGATTTCAAAGTACTGTATTATATGACAAAGATTATAATGAAGATAGGACACGACTAACTGCAATATTCTTTCTGTAACTGCACATGTTATTACACAGCTGTCTTATCTGCAGTTAGGTGAAAATACACAATAAACAAATCTTTGTGGCAAAAACTATATACAAAATGGTACATGGGTTTGCAGAAATTGACCTCAATAAACCAATTGGCTAAAAAAAAAAAAGTGTGTGTGTATATATATGTGTGTGTGTGTGTGTATATGTGTGTATATATATGTGTGTGTGTGCATATGTGTGTGTGTGTACAGGCATACCTCAGAATACAAGTTTAATCCGTTCCTGGAGATGCCTCGCCTTCCGAAAACTCGCATTCCGAAGTTAATTTCCCCATAAGAAATAAAGGGAAATGAATTAATCCGTTCCTGACTACCCCAAAAACCCCACATCAAACTAAATTTTTATACCTAATTTACCTAATTCATCTAAATAAACCTACAAAACTGTGTTCCAGTTATTACTTACTTTGCTGTCGAGTGCTGTAGGCGTATGGAAGATGGTGAGGAGGGGGGAGGAGGAGAGGAGTTACTGTTTGGAAGGGGAGTCCCCTTCCATAATCACATCACATAACCCCATGCCTTGTAACACTATGGATACCACTTCTCTTTCTAAATTTTTCAAACCAGCCTCTGCTTGCCTTAAACTCTTTCTTATCTGCATCACTCGTTGCAGGGGTATTCTTTAGAAGGTCTTCGTGCAACACCCTGGCTTTCTCACAAATAATGGCCTCCGAAACACTATCACCCCTCAACTCCTTGTCGTGTATCCAAATTAATAACAACTTTTCCACTTCTTCAAGTATTTGTGGTCTTTGTGCCGTTAATGTTCTTACTCCTTTTGCCACTTTAGCACCCATAATCTTATTTTTCTTCTTAAGTATAGTGCATATTGTTGATGTGGCTTTGTTGTACTGCCTACAAAGTTCAACAACACGTGTACCGTTCTCATGCTTCCGAATGATCTCTTGTTTCTCCTCTATTGTCATCCTCACATGAGCTTTCTGGCCTTTATCCTTACCACTGGCTTTCTTGGGACCCATGGTGAGATATATAATAACAAATTGTATAGACAAATCACCAAAAATCCAACAAAACACTGAAAATCCGCGAGAAGAATTGATGTGGGGGTAGTCACTGAGCGCGAGACAATGGTAAACTGAGGGGCGGCGGGGCGGAGGGGCGACGATTGCCGAACCACCACGCGCTAGGTCGGCCTGTACGCGTATCAACAAACTCGCGTCCCGAAGTAACCCTCGCCTTCTGAGACAAATTTTTGGAGTAAATACTGCTCGCCTTCCGAAAACCTCGCATACAGGGACAATCGCATTCCGAGGTACCACTGTATATGTGTGTGTGTGTATAAAAAAAAAAATTTTAACACTATCGCGTGCTGGGCATGCGCGCCGCCAACTTAGAGGTCACGCCCCCGGCGTGCGAGCAAGCGCACGCCGACACTGAAATGTGTATACTCGTTTCAGCTTTCTCACCTTAATTCTCGTGCTACGTCGTTTATTTTGGTAGCATTGTGTTCACAATTAAATTCCCTGCAGATGTATATGCATATAATGTACAAAAGCTTGGTGTGATTCCCCGCAGGAAAGCCTAAAGTTACCCATTAACGAGTGCCAATTGGCACACCACAACCTAATGTGTATAAGTACTCGTTCAGTTTGATAACATCAATTTTCGTGTTATGTCTTTCATTTTGGTATTAAATTGTTCGCAAAATAAAGGCGCGTATTTTAAAACTAGTCTCATAATAATAGAGCAATAACAGGAATTTTAACAAATATTTTAATTTTGTACTCTCATCACAAAATTATTTATATCTTTCCAGTTTTCTGACATCAATTTTTGTTACATCTTTCATTTTGGTGTCAAATTGTTCGCAATGTAAAAGTGCACATTTTAAAACTAGTCCCAAAATAATAGCACAATAAATAGAATTTCAACAATTATTTTAAAATTTTGACCTAAACAGTATAATCTTTCAAGTGTTTTGACATCAGGTTTCTTGTTACATCTTTCATTTTGGAATCAAATTGTGCGCACTCTAAGGACGCTTATTTTGAAACTATCCCGAAGTCTATCAGATAAAAAATGAGTTTTATACAAATATTTTTGTATTGGACGCAAGCGCTGTCCACAGCTAGGTCTCAAGAGGAGAAAATTGGACCTTGTTTCATTGAATCTCCGATTGCAGTACAAATTATCCAGACTGGACTTGCTCACCTGTTTCACCGATCAAGCATTCAATGATTTGACAAAGCAGGGGATGTGTGGATTTGTTAGGAAACTAAGTCAAACTTCTTAGAACTGATGAAAAGTTGTCTTGTCATGTGATAGGTTGAAAGGAAAATTTTGCTCAGTGATATTAGCCCATACAGCATTGGAAATATTAGGGTATGAATGTACTCTAATGGCTTTAATTACATTTTTATCCATTATCATAATGAATGAAACATTAGGAGAAAAAACAGGCATAGTAATTTTTTTCTTGACAAAAAAGTATTACACAAATGTCCCCTGAAGACATCTCCACTTGCAATAAATTTGTCGTTAAAGTGAATCTGTATCGGTCCTATATAATTGAATTGAGAGTGTACTGTATGTGTGTATTGCTGTATGTATATATGAGTTGGGGTAGGTGGCTGTGTGAGCGCATGTATGTGCAATTTTGTTAGTGTAGTTACACAATGAAAGCTAGGCTTGTAGTTCTTAGACATCCCGGTACTACTGTCATATGACGATTTTGGCATCTACCACCTTCTCGCTTCACATGTTCCAATATAAGTGTGCGTGCGTTTGTATAAAAATATGTACAGTATAGAAATTTATATACTGTATGTGCGTTTATTATGCATTTGTATTTTTTGTATGTATGATTTTCCTATCTAATATTGCTCATATAACTAACTTTGAAATTTTTTATTGCAGGGGCTGGAGGAAGATTGCCAGGTGAGTTTTAATGAAGAAATCATTTAATGATCAGAGTTTTAGAAAATAATGTAGTGTTGTTTGTAAACAAGCAATTGGGTTGAGGCAAGAGTGTAAATATTGCAATATTAGGTGAAAGATTTGAATGTTTGCGCTTGGTACAGGGGAAATTATATGCATATGAAAATATGCTCTATAAGGCTGTGTATGAATAAACATTTTATGAATGTGGTGGAGGGATTTTTCACTTTGCTTCTTCTGTACTGCTTTTCTGAAAGTAATGATGATATGTAAGCCACTGCCATAGTATGTCATAGTTTAGATAGTTTAAAATTGTTTAATAAAAATTTCCCTCATTCCCACTTTGTTGGGGATGTGCTCAATAAAGTCATTGTTATTGTTTTAAGTTTTAGCTGCAACAGGTGCCCAGCACATCAGCTGTAGGATCAGGGAATCTGTATATCTTATTGGAAAGCATAGATAGATTGCAGCATGTTCAATACATTCTATCATATAACATATGGACCTTAAATTATTTTGTTTATTTACTTAGTGCTGGAACTAAGCTTTGCACACCTACCAGTGGTTACTTTGTCTTTCATAGGCATTTATTCTTCATATAAATATGAAAGATGAAAATCTGAGGATTTTATTCTTATATCTTCAAAATATCTTCAGACCCATATTCATCCGTCTGACCCTTAGCTGGAACCTTCTTTTGGGTGTGATGGGTGGTCTTTCTCACCTCTGGAAGAGGTGAGGATTGGACCCATGTCTACTGTCACTGGTCTGGGTTTGGTTTCTTCTCTTTGATCGAGCTTGGTGACTGGTCCTTTATCAACTCTGGTGGGTATTGGGGGTTCAATCTGGGGATCTAGGTAAAGTCTGAGGGATGATTTTCAAGTTAACTGTAATTGATTTCCCTTCATCACTAATATCGTCCAGGTCCATAAAAGTTTTTGCAATTTTGAGTAGGGTCAAATGTTCCTTGGATATGCATCAGATGGTGATGCACCAGCATGGTGTCCATCTTTACTAAAGCCCAGGAAGGAAACTAACACTTTCAGGGTTTATTAGGTATGACTTTTGAACATTTCAGGGCACATCTGGTCTCCAACAGGAAATAGGTTCACCATCAGTCAGTGGCTTGAGGGTGCCAGGAGCAATTTAAGGGTTAATGTTCATGTTCTGTCATATTTTTTATTGAAGCTATGGATGGAAGTGGTTTCATCACCTTCCCTTAATGCATTCAACTTGCTGATCACCTGTTGTGCTTGTCTATCAGTGACTAAGTGCGAGATCTAGCTCTTTCTGCCCCACCTCCTAGTCGTTTATACCTGACGTGTTAAAATACCTCTCTAAATATTTACAGTTTGCATCATATTTTTTCTTTAGAGGGTTTGGAGGACGGCTCTGCCCCGGGTCCCGATGTGGGGAATCCTGGGGTTGGGGAGGTGTCAACCTGGGGGCCTTGGGCCCCCTTCCCTGGATGACTATGATTTGGGTTCGGTTCCGGGTGCCTTTGGATACCTCTGATCTGTCTTTCCAGAGGTTTTCTACTTCCCGTATCTCCGCGAAGGTGGCTCGGGAAGCTCTTGCTGCTTACCTCTTGTGAGACCCGGGTTATGCCTCTGCAATGGATCCGTCCTCACTTGAGTTCGGTTCTTCTTCCCGTTTTTGGGTGCGTTTGGAGGTTCCAGAGTCTTCCTTGGCCGGCAGACTGCCCTTTCTTTTCGTTGGGGGTGTGACATGGGTTCTGTCGGACCCGCACGCTTGATTGGCAGGAAACTTCTACTTTTATGCAGGTTTACCTGAGGGGCGAGTTTGAGCACCTTAATGCGTGCTTGTTCACTCCCGTGCTTTCTCGGGATGTTGGCCTTTTCCAGCTTCACGTGCAGGTTCCTCAGCTTTCGGCTTCGCTGGTTGCGGAAGAGTTGCGCGCCCGTGGGCATTTGGCTTGGGTCTTGCGTTTCTTTTCTCTTCTCGAGCTGTCTTCTGCTTGGCTTGAGGAGGATGTGGGAGCGTTGAGTGAAGGGCCTTCGTCTGGGGCGCTGACTTCGGCAGCTAGGGCATCGGCTGCACTGTTGAAGCTCTTTGCGCTCATCCTGAAGGAAGCGGTGTCTCTGTTTTATGCTTCTCGCCTCATGTGCCGTCAGGCTGTGCTTGCCCTCTCTTTAGAATCCGCTTGGGCCCTGGCTCTTAGGTTTTCGTCTCTCTTTTGTCCATTGCTGCTGTTCCCTTCGGGACCAGTGTCATCTGGTCGGCGCAGTGATTTCCCTGTTCGACGTTTGGGTTCTCGTAAGGGGCGTCAGCCCTTTCGCGGTTCGCCCCATTGACGGGGCGATTCGGGGGGAAGGGAGGGCTCGCTTTGCTTGCTCACTCTTGTCCCCACGATTTGTGGGCCTTTTCGGTTATGTCATCCGGCCTGCGGTGGCGTTGGGCGACTCGTCCTCTTTTGGGGGGTTCGGGGCTAACAAGGCAGGTTTCTTTTGCGCTTTGTCAAGTCGTCTTGGAGTGGGTGTGCTTGGGCATGGTCGAAACGACTGCGTCCCTCATGTGGGTTTCCTGTCTGTTTACAGTGCCGAAACGGGACTGCAGATCTGAGGTTCATTCTGGACTTGTCCCGTCTGAACCCCTAGATTCCTTGCCCCTCCTTTCGGATGACTACTGTCTCAGGTCCGGCTTCTGTTGGAGCCGGGTGCCTGAATGGTGGCCCTGGACCTCATGGATGCCTATTGGCACATTCCTGTTCATCCGAGGTTCAGATAAGTTCAGTTCTACGGAACTTACTGGATCCTGCAGTCCAGGACTTACTGGAATGCAGGATCCAGTAAGTTCAGTAGAACTTCGGTTTCAACTCTTTTGACTATGTCGTAGCTCTGTCGATTAAGGCAGGGTCTAGGATGCTCTTGGATGTAGGTTCGAATCCTCGTCATGGCCCTTGTTGATTTGTTCATTTGATGCATCATGTTATTGTGATTTCTGTGTGTAATGAGTTACACAACCCAGGACAACATGGATTTAGAGCGGGAAGATCCTGTCTAATATTGTGTCGGCCAGAAAAATTATAGGATGGATTACGAGAACTTTCAAATCCAGGGATCCCATCACAATGGTTGTACTCTTAAAGTCACTGTTGTTGTCCTGTCTCGAGTACTGCTCAGTACTCGCTTTCCCCTTCAGAGCAGGAGAGATTACTGAAATTGAGGGAATACAGAGAACATATACGGCACGCATAGACGCGATAAAGCACCTAAATTATTGGGATCCTCTGAAAGCTCTCCAAATGTACTCGCTAGAAAGTAAATGAGAGAGATACCAAATAATATACACATGGAAAATACTGGAAGGCCAGGTCCCTAATCTACACAGTAAAATAACAACATACTGGAGTGAACAATATGGAAGAAAATGCAGAATGGAACCAGTGAAGAGCAGAGGTGCCATAGGCACAATCAGAGAACACTGTATAAACATCAGAGGTCCACGGTTGTTCAACGTCCTCCCAGCGAGCATCAGAAATAATGCCAGAACAACTGTGGACATCTTCAAGAGAAAACTAGACTGTTTTCTAAAAGACGTTCTGGACCAACCAGGCTGTGGTGGGTATGTGGGCCTGCGGGCCGCTGCAAGCAACAGCCTGGTGGACCAAGCTCTAACAAGTCAAGCCTTGCCTCGGGCCGGGCTTGGTGAGTAGAAGAACTCCCAGAACCCCATCAACCAGATATCAACCAGAGGCAGAATGGATGATCACCACCTTGAGGTAGGGGCAATAAGCAACCTGTGAATTTGCACAAGGCGGGAGCGGACTTGAAAGGGAGTAGCCATGGTACAGCTGAGCCCGTGGGGGTTTTCCAGGGCCTGTAGGGTGAATGAGCCCTACAGGAAGCCCGGGCACTGGAGCCAGCTAAGCCGGTTAACCCCGTCAGTGGTTAATCCAACCACAAGCAGCTGATGTAAAGCCTTGGGGACAACAGAGAATCGCAACCACATGCTAGGCATAGCTTAATCAGGTGAAAAGCACAACTCCTCTGCCAAAAAAGGCAAAATAAATGCTGGTAAATGTGAAAGCACACTAAAAACACCCGAAACTCCACAACAGCAAAAAAGCAGTCGGAGAGATCTATCGACCCGCCGTTCGATAGCTGAAAATCTGGCCGCACCAGCTGCAGTGTGCCTCACCAGCCACCGAAAAATCTCCCACCCAGGGCAAGATGGAAAGCCTAATGCCCCTGATGCACCCCAAGGATGAAGACAATCACAAGCAAGGAAGTCCTCTTAACGGGGAGTGATTCCCATACACTCCTGGAAAGACAACCCTCACCACGAAAGGGCAGTACATATGGAGCACCTAGGGAAGGTGGCCCTAGGCCATTGCTGCTCCAGTACAGTACTGAAAAAAATTCCTGGCTGCACATGCACACCTGCTTATAACACCGCCGCAAAGACAAAAACTCCAAAAAAATGGGAACATGGAGCCAAAGCAACAGTGAGTATTTGGCACAGCATCATTCAAAGAACTGACTGGGGAAGGCCTGGCTCACCCAGGCCGGCTTCCCCTTCCCCTTGAAGGGGGGAGGTGCTAACGAGTGAGGGGTTAGTTGGACAAAATTTTGCTTGTTTGCTCTCTTTCTAGGGGAGTTCTTTTTCTCTTTTTGAGGATGTAGGGCTCAATTTTCAACCAGGCAGCGGTTGGTTTTGTTTCACCTAAATTTTTTGGGCCTTCCTTGGTGTATGGCAAATATGATTCACTTTAAATGTAAAGGGTTCATAGGCCATTGCTCCCTGTGCCTTTCTGAGGGGGCCAGGTTCTGGCTCTAGTCTCTAGTAGGCAACAAAGAACTCTGCGACTGATGACACTCAAGTAGTATGGCACTGATCAGTAAGATAGCTTCAGGGTCTAGGGTGAGGCTCCTCTCAGAAAATATAGTAAAAAACCAGCGTTGAATGTAATGAAACGCCATTTTCTAGGTGAGACCCGCAGGCTCCCCGGAGCTATACTGGCTGATGTGTATATATTA